TGATCAAGCATGTCATCCAGGATGATCTGTTCCATGATCTTCCCAGGCACAGAGGTGAGACTCACCGGCGTGTAGTTCCCGGGGTCCTCCTTGCTCCCTTTCTTGTAAATGGCAGTGACGTGACCCTTCCTCCAGTCATCCGGGACCACACCAGACAGCCACGACTTCTCAAATATGATGGAGAGCAGCTCGGCAACCACCTCAGCCAGTTCCTTCAGAAGCTTCAAGTCATTATTTACAATTATTCTGAATTTATTTCTCTTTAGTGATTCTGGATTACAGAATATGACAAAAAATCTTTAAAATGTTTCTGTGGGAGATTTACACGAATGCCATTGAAAAGCAGGGAGTTTTTTTGTCTATAGTGGTATCTGCAGTGATTCAGACAAGAGGTCTGACCTTGTGCTGTCTAAGAGCAGACGTTAGCTGCTCCTCAGGTGAAAAGGATTACAGAAGAGAGTGGTGTTTCTCTAATTACACTTTCCTTTAGCTTTCAGCAATCTCCGACACAGGGAAATTAATAATCCTTGAAAAAATATCTTCCTGCAAATTTGTCCAATAGCTTCTTGAACGTAGTTATTCACCTGACTTTCACACCTTGCAGCAATGCATGCTAACATTTCAGTTTTTCAGTGTATAAAGTTTTTCTTTTGTTTTTGCTTCAAAGCTTTGAATACTGAATGCATTGACTGCTCCCTGATTCCTGTGTCTGTGCTACCTGTGGTTTTAAAGACTTATGTCAAAGCTGGTGTGCCTGTTTGAAGATGACAAGGCATTGTCTTTTCATACAGTTTGCTCTCAATACTGGCTTGCTATGACATCGTCATGACCATGGTCAGATATTGTCATCAGAGACACATCATCTCCTGTACCAGATTCTGTTTCTTTAAGGTGGGAACCAAAAATAGCATTTGGTATTCAAGATGCAACTACACCATGAATTTCTGTAACACATAATGTTTTCTGATTTGTTCTCTGGCTGTTTTCCAACAACCCCCAGTTTTGCATTTCTGACCAATACCATTACTGTTGTCCACATTGACTTACAGCCCCGTTACTTCCTTTTAATTCCTTTGACATGGCTTTACACACATCTGTGCTAAGTGGAACAAGGAACTGATACAAATAAAGGACAACACCACAACCACCTGTTATTAATGTCCTGTTTTCCAAATTATTCCTCTAGCCTGGTTTATGACAGGTACCTGCAGGTGCTGTAAGAGTTATTGAGTATTGGAAAATACTTGAAGTAGCTACAAAGCTTAACAAAACCACACTGTTAATTTTTTCAAGAATGATAGATACATTGTGATATACGTTGAATAATTGTGTTAGCAAGTCAAAAAGACTTCTACACATCCTTAGGAAATATGTATATTTTTATTTTGGACTATGACAAATACACTTTGTACTGCATTTGTAGCTATGAGGCATTGAAGTTACATATATACTGTACTTGTTAACATATGTCTGCAGTAGGAAATAATGGGAGCAATAAAAACAATGCATAGCTATTGTTGACTCACTGGCAAAAGTCATGATTGCATATGTAAATGGATAGCATTTCAAAAGAGGAAAAAAGTGTATTTCTATAGAAGAAGGCGGGAAAATGAATATGCAAATGTTTTGTATCTTCATGTATAAATTAATTATGCTGTTCAAATGTTTCACTGCTCAGTCTTAGCAAGTTGTTTCACAGAGAAGTGTTTCAATTTTTCTTCAGATCTCAGTGGCAGGTGAGGAAAGAAAACGGGAAAAGATAACCACATTTCCTCCAAGATCTGACTTCTTTTTACAGATCTGTGTGGGACATTCCCTTGTTATTGACATTTCAGAAGAAAAATCTAAAATACTCTTGAATGGATGGCACTGATACGAGCACTTTCCCCACCCTTCCTGCTGCCACCTCCATGAGATCACACAGCTCAGAGTGCCTTCAGGGTTCCTCTTCTCCTCCCTGGGCTGTCAGCACCACGATGCAAAATTGGCCACCCCAGTGCTGCTGGAAGACTACAGACTGCCTGCCCTCAGGGCTGCTCAGCACTTGGAGAGCCTCTGAAATAGATATTGCAGAGTGCTTTTTGGGCAGGCGTCCTCTCTGGATGCTGCTGTTTCAGAACAGGAGGGCTGTAATCCATATTCAGAGGTAATTCTGTAACAGTGTGGCTGCACAGAGGCTTAAACCAAAATAGCGATTCAAAAATAATTGCTCTGGAATAATAATTAGAACGCTCATTTCTGCATCAAACATTCAGGAATACCTCTTCCATTGTATTTCCACACGGAGATGAGCCCTGAGCATTCTGCCATCTGTGTTTTCCTCAGTCAAGTGAGGAAAAATCCTTTAGCCAAAGTCTTGGGAAATAAACTGAAAACCACTGAAAAATAAAAAGCTGCAGTTGTTTTGACAACAAATCAGTCAAAGGTATCACACTCTATTTTTGGTGCCTGAAGAGATGAATTCAGAAGCTGTAGCTCCTGTTGCGTCACTGAGTTACTCATTGCTTTCAGCTTGAATAAAGATGATTCATGGGCATTTAATTGCAAGGAAGAGAAATGCCACTTAGGATTCTGAAGTAATAGAGTTGTTTATTTATTTGGCATTGCATTTCAGGCTGAGCTTTACAGGTATTGATTTGCTCTAGAGGGGCCAAACCAAAAAGTCCTGGCTGTTCAGACTCTGGTCAGCTGGCACCTTACTGCAAGCTGGGTGGAGAGACAGGCAGCAGGCAGGGCCTGGCTTAAACCTGGGCTCCCCAGCAAGCAGGATGGGCACAACCAATTTAAAGCACACCACTCATGCTGAAGCAGAGCTCGCTGAGCATCTACAAGGGGTGGGCAGGGTGGGCAGAGTCAGTCCTGTGCCCTCAGGCCTGGAGGATGCTGCCCAGAGGACATGCA